AATTTTAAGTATATCAAAATCTATTAGTAACAACCCCAACCGGGCGGCGAAGCCGCCCACATCTGCATCCTCTAGTTACTTAATAATTATTAATGTTAATCATTTGATGATCATTTGATGAATCATTTGATGATAATGATCATATAAAGTAGCTACTTTAGATATCTAAAGTAGCAACTTTAGATGGGGCTACTTTATATATATAAAGTAGCTACTTTAGATGAATCGCTACTTCAGATGCAACAGTACAAAGTAATTTTCTTTTAAAAAATAATTATAAATTTTCATATAATCTAATATACTATTATAAATTTATTCTGCTTTCCTAGCAAAATACTATTTTATTGTAATTATTATACTTCGCTAAAAAATACTATAATTTTATTATATTTGCTAAAAATATATCATTATAATTGTTTAATATGCTTGAAAAATATACTTTGCTATAATCGAAACAAGTCGTAATAAACTATATGTTTTTTGTGATTTGCTTCAACCACGTAAAATCACTTTAACAACACAATTACGTCGATACCCTATAAAAAAATTTTATCCGAATATTTCCATTATTTCTCCGTGGCCTCCGTAAAAATTCCATGAAAATGATACATTTACGCATTTACGGATATCCGTGTTAGGGAGATGAAAATTTCCATTATGTAAGGTTATAAATTCCATGAAAATGAAACATTCATGAAAAAAACATGGAATAATAAACACGGATCAACATTTTTTATAGGGATACTACAATGGATTCTAACGATTACAAATCGAAAATACTACTAATTACGTAATCACAACGATAAGTTCAAACGACTATAATCACAAATTGCTACTTAATTATCTATCCTTTACGCATTACTTGAATGTGCACAAGACTTGTGGCGAAGCTCAAATTTTTTAAATTTCACTCATGTTGGAGGTAGGATTGTAAAAATTGCCCAACGAAACCTTCATGTTAGAGCATTGACAAAACGGTCATACATTCAAATTCAAGGGTGCTAGTACTTTGTGCAACCCTTAGGATAAATTATGAATAGAAATTCATCTTTACAATTTGCATCATACCAATCTCACAATAAATCACGATAATTCGATTCGAGACAAAATTATACTTTCGAATCAGGCAGCTAATCAAATAATTCGTGTCTTAACTTTCTCCCCTGACCCGTTTTTGGAAGTTATTTAAACCCTTCCCCAATTACCTATCTAAAATCATTCTTTTTATCGTATACTATCGGAGTCAATTTGCTTATTGTCTATACCGGTTTATCTTGCTCTCCCATTCAACGTTACACCGGAAACCTCAACGCTAACGTCCCTAGTATTTCGATATTATGATACTAGCAGGTTATTTCAAATGATAGATTTATCATCTTTTCCAGAATACAATGGATCTTGCCATCCGGAAGATTGGCTTCGTGAATTTCAATTTGTTGCTGCAATCATTCAGGAAAAGATATCATCGGAGTCTGAGCTAATTAGTCTTGCACTCTTAAAAATTAGTCGCTCAATTTATAGAAATAATATTTCCATTAAAAATTTTTCGCAACTTCTCAAGTTTCTTAAAGCTGATCCTTCATTTAGTATTTTTAAAATGGAATCAGAAAGAAAGATTTTGGCTTTACACTTCACATATTCAACTGATATAACACATTTTATCATTGAATTACGGCAATTGCTGGCTGACGCTGAAATTTTGGATCTAAAATTACAAAAACAGTCTATACTAAAAATTTTACCAACTAAATTTTTAGATACATTTAGATTAAAAATTGTCAATTCTCAAAATATTGATGATGTTTTTATAAATCTTCGAAGTTTTCTATCCCAATTTAAACGAGTAGTTAAGTATGGATCAGTAATCACTTTACGTCATATCGGTACGGAAAAACTATTATCAAGTTCGCTGCATAAATATACTAGTGGATCAAAGCAGTATTGGGTTTGTATTAAATCCCAAATGCAGTCAGAGCACACGCTATAAAAATTCTCTCTAATCGCACGAAATAGCTTTTCTCAGTTTATAAGAGCTCTATATTTTTGGTTCTCTGCAAATGACCTTTCTTAATATACATTTGCTCCTTTTTTTCTTACTATGGTTCAGAGGGGGTGCACTTAATGAATCTGACAGTATTATTTAGTATTATTTTAATTCTTTACGGTAAATATATTAATTTGCACCTTACTTTAGGCATATGCAGTAGATTATCGTGCAACTGGTCCAACTGATCATGAATTATGGACAATAATGCCAGAAGTTATTAAAGATGGAATTTCTCCAACATATAATCCAGTAAATGATGGCAACAAAATAAAAGGTTCAGTTGTGTGTTATGGAGACCAAATAACACTCCTAAATAATGGTACTGGACAAAAATTACACTCGCATAAACGTACTGAAAATTCCAACTATCGCAAATCCCCAGTAACCTCTCAACAGGAAGGTAAAAATTTATTACAGTATTATTATTTTTTTTTGTGATTTTGAATTATGATTTTGAATAATTAATGACATAATTCTTAACGTATCTCTCCATATTAGTTACATGCCAAACCTGGAACAATCCGAATGATAATTGGGTTGTTCAGCATGATGTTCATAATATAACTTCTGAAGACCAAGTGCCATGGAATGAATGCCATAATATCGTTCTTATGCATGTTAATTCTGATTTGGGATTAAATAGTCATCATTATATGTTGAATAATGTATACCAAGAGGTTACATGTTTTGGTGATAAAGTCAATACTTCGAAGGTATGCAAATGTATTTAGATACTTGTGTAAATCTCTAATAGCTGTTTTGTTAATTTTAAAATTCTTCGATATTAATAGTGGCGTGTTGAAATCGTAAATGACTTGTTTCAAAAACCGTAACAAACAATCGACAATCGATATTAATAATTATAAGATTGGACGATTGTATAAACATTAAATTCTAATAAAAAATTATTGAAAGCTTCCAATTCATATAGATAACAATTTATATTGTGTATATTGAAAATTATAATAAAATAATCTTTCCCAAATTTGATTATGTAATTATTGAGAAAAGAAATTTTCACTAAAAGTTTTAAGAAAGAAAAATTTCTTCAAAAAAGAATTTAATAAATTTTTGTATAACTAAAAAATTTTGCAAAATTGTTATACGAATTGACAAATTTGTTATCACTGAGAGGTTATCTGATTGCTAAATTAAAGAATCTGAATAGAATTTATTATAAAAATAAAACAACTCTAAGGCCATATAATTTTCTAAACATGTCGATTCTATATGAATTTATAATTGAAATAAAATTTTTTTTATCGATTTTAGATAGTTGTTGAGATATTCTCTCTCAAAGACAACCTTGTTTTAAGTTATGTGAACTAATTAGTATCCCTTAAACCGTCTAGCGTAAATTTGTACCAAAAAAAATTTTTGCCAATTTTTTATGAAATAGAAAGACACAGCGTGTAGGGGGATTTGTCCGCACACGTCATTATCAATGCACCTCATTAAACTTACAATAAGCATTTGGATTATTAAGAATGAAATGAAATTATAAAGTAAAATTTGACAAGAAAAAAAATTTGTTAGAGCACAAAAGTCTGTTTGTTATGTAAGTTTTTGAGATATGAACAATTTTAAGAACGAACAATTTTTTTTACGTTATTCCTGATCGTGTTACATTACGCTTGATCATTGGTCAATTATCACATGTGCGGGCAAGTCCTCCTGCATCCTGATACTGTTTATGAAATATACCCGATTTTTTTAAGTTTCACCCTTCTACTAAGATAGCATGGAATTTTTGTGAAATTACACTCGATTTTTTTGTTTCACTCCCTTTACTAAGATAAATGAAGTTTTTCATGTCACTGATTATCCATATTGTTACTGGCAAAACCGCATGACCATGAAATCCAAGAATCATACGGAACGATGCACGTTGGAAGCACGAAATCGTTACGCAAGCGCCGTCGTACTGCAGTGCCCTGGGACCCGCATTTTCACCCGACGATCATATGCAAGAAACCTGCTTAAGCCAAGTCCACCATAATGAAACATTAGAGCGATGATCGTATGAAAGCAAAGCCCCATCAACGATCCCATTGAAGCAAGAGACACTTACCCGATTCGGTTGACAGCTGTCAAGGTAATATTACCTTGTTGGGTAAGGTGTGTGGCCGTGAAAGTAAGAAGCATATGGGTTGCTTGAAGAGTCGATGAATGAATCAATGGACTTGACGGGTAAAGAACGATGACGGCGTAGAAGCCTTCATTCGACTTGCCTTCTAATTGCCTTCTTTCGTCTATACCATCGAATCTCAATGAAAATGGCTGTGAGTAAGGGTTGGGAATTGACTAGAAAAGGGTTAAATGGCTTGGTTCAATGACGGTTCAATGACAAGCGATGGGAGGAAATGTTCGATCTTGATCTTTTTCTTGCCCTGTAAATTCGTTATAAATAAGAGGGAGAATTCCTCTTGTCAGAATAGTCAGTACCTTAGTAGTTAGTACCTTAAGTAACTACTGCATGTAATCTGCTCCCTATAAAAATAAAGTTAAATTTCCACGTCTAAGAAGATGCCCCAAAACGTAGGAAGATGTTAAATAATAGAGACATTGGGGTAGGATATATAATCAGTATATATCAGGTGTTCAAAAAATTTTTTAAAAAATTTAACGTGAAAATAAATTTTATGGTAACTGCATTTAGTACAGATCAACATTGCATATGTAACAAGTCACGTGTACACGTGATTAAATCGATCACATGACTATTGTTTCTGTGAGACGCTTCAGTCGCTTCTGTCTTTAGCGTAATCAGTGTCATATCTGTCGTAATCGATCCTTCTGTAATATTAGTCTTAAGTGTTGGGTTTACTAATTTTCCCCCCTAGTTCCTATTGGACGAAGAAAAATCTTGCTTTTCGATCAAATAATGGAAGTATTGATGAAACAACATACTATAATAATTTTGCAAGGAATTTATTTTGTTAGAACACAAAAAGTGGTTTTGTAACCAAAATTTTAATTACTAGCGATTTTTGAAAAAGCTTCAAAAACTCGAATTTTTTTTGAAAATTTTATGTTACACCTAATCTTATAATTTGATTGGTAGACTAAGAGTGGCGTAGTCTACTTTGTCCAATCAGAGACGGCATTTACAAATGTCCAATCAGAACTGGGGGGGAGAAATTAGGGATCCCTTAAGTGTTGATTATGAAACATATTACACTTCAGTCTTCTTAGTAAATCAAATGCATATAAAGGGTGTCTTTCACTCTACTTTTAGGCATCTTTGCCATAATATATTTATACACATTCAAATACAAATTATATACATCCTTCTTTCGAGTATAGCCTAATCACCAAATTATTCTCTCATTTATTTACCCATTCAACTATTACATACCACAGCGTAGTCCGGCATTACTGCGTACACGTGACTCTCTGTCTTAATTGTTCGTTGACCCCGGTCTTTGAGAGATAGATTGATGTTAACACAGAAAATATTTAATACCTGATGTGATACAGAAAATATTGTCAGAGGTAAATCGATCAAAGTAACACCTCCAACAAGAAGGACGTAGGGGGGTCGATTGGTCGTTAAAATAAAGGGAAACGTAGTGTAACGATGCTTAATAGAGTGATGAGGCGGATAGTAGTTTGGCGAGGGTCTAAGGCGTCTATTAAGGATCGTTACGTAGGTATTCCAATGCAATTTTAAAGAACGTTTTGGATCTGGGTACTTAAGGTCTTTTATTAACTTTATTTTTATAGGGAGCAGATTACATGCAGTAGTTACTTAAGGTACTAACTACTAAGGTACTGACTATTCTGACAAGAGGAATTCTCCCTCTTATTTATAACGAATTTACAGGGCAAGAAAAAGATCAAGATCGAACATTTCCTCCCATCGCTTGTCATTGAACCGTCATTGAACCAAGCCATTTAACCCTTTTCTAGTCAATTCCCAACCCTTACTCACAGCCATTTTCATTGAGATTCGATGGTATAGACGAAAGAAGGCAATTAGAAGGCAAGTCGAATGAAGGCTTCTACGCCGTCATCGTTCTTTACCCGTCAAGTCCATTGATTCATTCATCGACTCTTCAAGCAACCCATATGCTTCTTACTTTCACGGCCACACACCTTACCCAACAAGGTAATATTACCTTGACAGCTGTCAACCGAATCGGGTAAGTGTCTCTGGCTTCAATGGAATCGTTGATGGGGCTTTGCTTCCATACGATCATCGCTTTAATGCTTCATTATGGTGGTCTTGGCTTGAGCAGGTTTCTTGCATATGATCGTCGGGTGAAAATGCGGGTCCCGGGGCACTGCAGTACAACGGCACTTGCGTAATGGATTTGTGCATCCAACGTGCAGAGTTCTGCATTATTCTTAGATTCCTGGTGCACGTGGATTTGCCAGTAACAATAGTATTAACATATACAAGGTTCTCTTTTACATCAATATAAGTTCCTCCAAAACTTTCGTCATCTAATAATCGGTTTAAGATTTTATCAATCATCGTTAAATTTCATTCAACAGACAATAGCCCTTCCACTTCGTTATCGCTTACATTCCACAACCTAGCTAATGGCTCGTTCTGAGCATAAAGCATCAAATGCTTTTGTAACGTTGAAATAATTAACAATAAATTTGCCAAAATGCAAATGTGTTTCATAACTGCGTTGTTTATGAAATTAATAGATTTAAGGAATTCCGAATTCTTTTAGTAAAGATTTTATGTTCAATTTTCGAGAAAAATTCTTTTCTTGACTTTTTATATTATGAGTAATATGAGCGGATTTTTAGATTACGACTATACATGCCGTAGAAAATATTTCAGCATTGCCAAAGATAATTGTTGATTATAGAATGGCTTTCATATTATTGACTATTTAAATCAATTTATTTTATACAGTGGCGATCACATGTTTTGCATCACTTGAAAAAAAAATTTTAAATTCATATATCTCCCCGAAGTTGAGTTATTCTGGGATGGATTTTTTTTTATTTGGATTATCAATACCAAGAGTGATCATCACTGAAATTATATCGAAAATTTTTTCGTGCCCAAATCACCTAATAATTTTATCCTCAACCTAACCTTTTTAGCAATTTGGTTGGTCAAATATCACTAATTGACTAGGGGCATGAATTTTTGGGCACGAAAAAGAATTTTGATTTGTCTGTAAATCCCGATTAGGGTGTCCAGGATTATGCTGCGAAGATTGCCAAATTATGCATGTGGCAAATGGTAAAGTATGCAAAATTATGCAAGTTTTTTTTACCTGAATTATGCTCGTATTATGCACTATCTTGGAAATTATGTAAAATATGCGAAAATGTTTTTATCAGAAATTGAAACTAAAGTCAAAAAAAAAAAAGATTGATCATTTTTAATTATCCCTTAAACCATCAATTTAACTACAAATCCACTACAATTTAAACGACATTTCAATATAATTTGATAGCTTGATCACAGATTAATCATGAAATTTCTAGGCAAATTGGCCTGCAAGGGATAATATTTTATATTCGTGAAAAATTATCAATTACTTTATTTATAGGGAATTATTTTTTATACCCCCCAAATTTATTAACTATACCCCCTAAATTTAACTTTTTTAAAAACTTTAAGCAAGAATATCTCAGTAACTACCAAGTCAAATTCAATAAACT